CAGCAGAGCCCAGCAGGTCGAGGCTGCAGTGGCCGGGAGCAGCCACTGCACTCCAGTCTGGGCGACAGAGTGAGACTCCTCACCCCCCCAAAGCGCGGGATTACAGGCTGAGCCACCAAGCCCGGTTTTTGACTAATATTTCAGTTCCAGTTTTTAAAATCCCCATATTACAATTTTTACCAGATTGGTCAAGGTATTTGTACATTTTTTTGCTCATCGTTTCATGAATCTTCTGCTTTTTCCTCTGTTACCGACTCTGTTATCCGAATTTAAAGTGAACTTTTTTAGTTTACTCAAAAAATAAATAAATAAATAAAATATTAGTCAAAGATAATACAGAAGGAAAAGATGAGCATTTAAATAATCAAAGCTTACTGCACTGTCTGACAGAGAAACAGAGCTTCTGATTAATTTTAGATTTGTATAACCAATTTGAAAAAAAATCAAGATAGAAATATATAATTTCCAAATTAATCCAAAAGAAGGACAAAAGAAAATTTAATCTATCTAGTAGAAGTCAAAAAAGGAGAGAAAAAAAATTGGGGGCTAAATTTTAAAAATACATTATAATAAAATAGATGTTGAAAACTAAAAAACAGATGGAAACAGATATGCCAGAAATTAGTAAACGAAAGATGATACAGCAATATTAACATCAGACAAAAGAGACTTTAAACAAAGGGGATAAAAAGAATTGTTACTTAAAAAAGAATCATCTCATTTAGAAGATAAAATAATCCTAAACCTAAACATATGTAACAATTCAGTCGCAGAATACTCTGGGGAAAAAAACGAATAGAATTTGCAATTCTCCTCATAGGAGACATTTCAAATCCACAGCCACCTCTCTAAGAAGCTGAACAGCCAAACAAACAAACAAAAAAAAATGAGTAATGAGTCAGAAGATCTGAAGTACAGAGGAATAAACCAGAGTTATAGGACAGAACACAAATGCTCTCTGTACCTATGAGAAGAGCCATTCTTCCAAGCCCATAAGAAACATCAACATAAACTGAATATACACGAGACTACAGAAAAAAATCTATTGCCATCACACATGCTAATCATATGAGAAAGAAAGGTGGGGGGAGTAGCCCAAACACTTGCAACACATTTGGAACCGTAAAGGCACTGTAAAGTCTTTTTGGCCAATTACTTCTAGCAATGTAGATGAAACAGTTAACTGACTACCCTGATCGGGTTTGGGTACATATATATGCAACATAATATTTTAAAACACCAGAAGTTTAGAAATATTGCTATTTGCACTTTTGATTTGAATTGATAGTTCAACAAATAATAATTGAGCCCCTACTATGTGTCAAGCACTGTTCTGGATATAACAAGAGACACAGCTGCAGCCTGCCAAGTGACCTGTACTCTAGTGAGGTGAAGGAGAATAGGACACTAATAAACAGTGAATATTTAGTATGTCAAATGGTGAAAAGTGCTCAACAGAAAGGTAAAGTAGGACAAAGGGATGTGGAAGGGTGAGGATGAGGGGACAGGTGGGAGTGCCTTTCTATAAAGTGTTTCTGGCACAGCCCTGGAGAAAGTGAAAACGAAGCATCCCATTCAAACTCTGACAAGGACCATCACTGCCAGTGGCTTCTTCATCAATAGAGATGCTTTCTGAATTGTCTGACATGCATCCAAATTGACCATACAGCACTTTTTAAATCTATATGTGAGGCTGTCACCAAACGTCGAGGCAGTTGTTTTTACTTATTCTGTACACATATTCAAGATTTCTCCCACCTAACGACTTACCATATTGCTTAAGTGACATTTAAAGGGTTATAATGTATATCATTCAACATTTATATACCACCGGAATAATCACTAAATCTGGTTAAATTTCTTAAGTCTTTTTAAAAACCAATTATGTCATGTGACTTTTTATAGCATCCCAAACTAACACCCTATAAAACAATTACAGCTAATGCATCATCCCCAAGGAATGAACATATACAGCATTCAACATGTCTCTTGTTTCTGAGGGATTTTTTTTTTGAGAAGGAAAAGCAAACTTTGTCTTAAATTTGGGATACAGGAGCTTGCCTATGTTATATATAAAGTTTCAGCCTAACCAAAAAACATCAAGTTAAAAAAAACCAAGGAATGGAAGAAAATTACAAAGCACAAAGTTAGCAAAGAACTGTAATCTAGAATACAAGGAACATCTATAAAAATTGATTAATAATGTTCAAAACAACAGAAAAATAAGCAAAAAACATGAACTGCCACTTCAGAGGAAAGAAAACCAGACTGCCTAATAAACATTAAAAAAGGTGCTTAACATCACTAGTAATGCCACCATGCAAATTAAAACATGTTGTTTTACAGCCAAGAAATAAACAAATAATAAAAAATCTAACAATAACAAATATTAGCAATAATAGGAGCTCACCTACACCTTCTCTGCGAACACAGTTAGAAAGCAATCTGGCAACATGTAGCCAAAACAAAGAGACATATACTTTAAAATATGATGTTTGTTTTATGTACTGGGGAGAACTTCGATCAGGTTAAGAAAGTAATTTAACAGTTTTTATGAGTGTGGCCTCTGTAAAAATTTCTAAACTATCTCTCATAGGGAATGTTGTTCCCTCATCAAATCCTACTGGTCCCTCAAGGTATAATTCATCTAATTCCACCCCTCACTGGCCTCACTAACACTGAGCCATGCCAGTGGTTCCTAAATTTGTCTGTCTGTTGGAATCAAAGCCCAAACAGAAGTATCAGTATTTTCCACCAAGTAATTCCAGTGAGCAGACCAATTAGGAACCACTGCCTCACACTACCAAACATCACTGATGTGAGCCACTCATGACGTGACAACTTCAGTTATTGCATAGATGTGGTTTTTCATGTCTCCTACAAAAAGGTAAGCTGCTTCAGGGCAGGTTCAAAAGCCTAGTATTGGGGAATGTATTGAAATACAAAAAGTTAATGAGGCTGGTTCTCAGCAGTTCCCAACTAGGAGTGACCTAACCGTACCTGGAGACTACTGGTTATCACACTGAGGAACGGGGTACTACTGATAACTGGCAAGTGGAGGCCAGGGACATTGACAAACATCCTATACTGCACAAGACAACTCTACATACCTCCCAAAGAACTTTCTAACCCAAAATGTCTGTTAAAGCTAAAAAACCCTGCCCTAGAAAGTGGCAAGTAGAGAAGAGCTGATTGAAAAACACGTAAACTGGCATTTAAGCAAAAAGAAAAAGATCACTGAAAGTTTTTGACATGAGAACATCTACAAACTCTACTTCCTCCTCCATTACCTAGAAAATAAAGAAGTAGTTGAGCTAAGTTACCAAGCATTCCCCTCTGGAGAAAGTGCCCCATGGAAAAAACCCTGATGATTCTCATCCGCCTCCCAGAGAGGCTGCTCTTCCCCTCATTCCCCACACCCCACCTCCAAGCTGCGAGTCACAGCTGTCGTGTTGTTGAATGAGTCAACAATTTACCTTTGGTAGGGCAGCAGTAACACCTGTTCCATGTGGTTAAATACACATGTTAAGTTAAATTCACATATTATGAATCAACTAAGTTTTAGTTACACTCACTGGCAGCATAATGACATTTCAGTCAATGACAAACTGCATATATGACATGGTCCCACAGATTATAGTGGAGTCGAAAAATTACTAATATGGTAGGGACTGTAACATCATAGTGCAATTTCTTTTTTTGTAAATTTGGTGTAGCCTAAGTGTATGGTGTTCATGAAGTCTACGGTGGTGTATAGTAATGTCCTAGGCCTTCACACTTACCACTCACTCACTGACTCATCTAGAGCAACTTCCAGTCCTGAAAGCTCCATTCATGGTAAGAGACCTATAGAGATGTGCCATTTTTTATACTATATTTTTGCTGTACTTTTTCTTTTCTTTTTTTTTTTTTTTTGAGTTGGAGTCTCACACTGTCGCCCAGACTGGAGTGCAGTGGCCGCTCCTGGCCACCGCAGCCTCGACCTGCTGGACTCCAGTGATCTTTCCGCCTTAGCCTTCCAAGTAGCTGGAACTACAGGTGCGCGCTACCACGCCCGGCTAATTTTTTTATTTATTGTAGAGATGAGGTTTCACCAAGTTGCCCAGGTGGGTCTCAAACCCGCAGGCTCAAGCAATCCACTCACCTCAGCCTCCCAAGGTGCGGGATTACAGGCTGAGCCACCGAGCCCGGCTGCTTTTTTCTATGTTTAGATATGTTGAGATACACAAATACTCACCATTGTGTTCCAACTGCCTACAGTATTAAGTATAGTCATGTGATGTCCAGGAACAACAGACTGTAGCCTAGGAACAACAGGCTATCCCATACAGCCCAGGTGTGCAGAAGGCTGTACCATCTAGGTTTGTGAAATAATAGCCTAGGATGCTCACACGACAAAACCGCCTATGGACACATGAATCAACCTATACTGTGACTAGGCTATGCACGATTTGTATCACGAAGAGCAATTCTGTTTTTCCTGCTTTGTCCCTTCTCCCATCTATCCTTCCCAGATTCTTTCATCTTGTTTGATATGTTAGTTCTGATTTCACTATCAATTAAGAGGAGGTACTTCTTGTAAAGCAATAACTGTTAACTAAGGCTACAATTTACAATCACCTGGGAAGATTTATACATTATTGTTTATGTTGCCATAACCACCCTCATTCTGATTTCATTGGCCTGGGTGGGACATGGGTACTATGGTACACTTAAAAACCCCCAGTCTTATTTCAAAGTGCACCAAGGGTTAAGAGTCTTGTCCTAAATCCAATGACTGCTTATCCCCATTTGGCTAGACCTAATTTCTTTCACATCCAGAAAATGGGTGACTAGAGTACAGAAACTCTTCCAGCTGGCAAATAGCCTTCAGACATGGGAGAAAAATATAAACCACTGACACATTCCTAAGCGTACCACTAATTACAAATTGGAAATCAGTTGGAAAATAGGGTTTAATATTACACTCTGGTTTATAAACATCTTAGCAAGTGTATTTGCATTTCCATGAAACAGAAATAATTTTAAATTTTGGAATAAGAAGATGTTTAAAACCAATGTTTAGCTTGAAACTAATTTTTTTGGCACACTTATAGACAAATTTATTTTTCTCAAATATTATTTTTAAGGTTAAATAGCCTTCTTTAAAATGCCAGGCAGGACAAAGACTCATTTACAAGTAGTTACCTCGATAACAGGGCTTTCTGCAATAGCAGTGAGAATGACTCTGCTTGCCAAAGCTTCTGCTTGGACTATTGTCTCAGTATCTGCTGAACATGGCCAAGAAGCAACACTGAATGTACATCTGAAAACCCCAGGACGGGATGGTATAAAAAGTACTTTCATCTCTTCTGTGGCATGAGGTCTTATGATGACTTTATTCTTGAAAACTAAACAACGATATGTTGAAAGATCCACCTTTAAAAGAGAGTTACAAGAGTCATTATATATGGTTTCATGTTGAAAATCAAGAAGAATCACCTTGTGTAAGATTCCTTTTCCCCGTCATTCAAACTACTTCATTCAGACATTTATTACCTCTTCAAAAAACATCCAAATCTGGTAACTCAAATGTCTCCTAAGTACCATTAGTTAAATGCTTCATGAGTTGAATGTTCTTACCATACAAAGACTGTGTCTTCCTAGTCTGTTTTAGAGCAAGCACATGTATGTATTACCCTCACTTTTCTTAAAAAGGGCACTGATGATGGCAGCCCTTTCACAGCCCTGTAAATCTCTCTAGGACATGGATTCTGCAGTTACATAATGTGACTGGGGATGGCGGAGTTAGGTTCCATAAGCCTGTACACATCTGCAGTTATGACTCCAACCACCTCTGCCTCCTCACTGTAAATGGGGACCATCTTTCCACTCCCCACTTCCATAGACAACACTACTTTGTTCACAGACTCCTAGATGTCCCCTGAAAAGTCTTCCCATCTCACCTGCCACCCTCAACCCTTTCCTTCAATCATCTGCAATTCATCTAACCTGAGGATCTGACAGCAGAGGAAAAAACCTAGAAAGGGGAGGGGTATGGTAAGGCAATCTTGTGTCAGCACAAAAATAAAATCTGTAAGAGGGAAGAGTAAACCATCTACCAATGCTGGTATGCAAGTAGCAGTTGCAAAACTAGGACACTTCACAAAAGCAACTGTTGACCGTATTTCTACTCTCCCCATTCACTGACTTCAGATGCTGTAATTGGGAAAGGAGACTGAAAGTCTAGAATTACAGAGGCTGTAATTGCTCATGTGAGAGACTTCTGCTATAAAAGCTAGTATTACAGTTGTATTTTCAGGTATTTCCAAAGATCATGTAGGAAAACCAACAGATTCATTAGTCATAAAGAGTCCCTTTACTAAATAAAAGCATGGCCCCAAGAGCAGCTTCTTTTCTTTCTTTTGTCACTTTTTTGATAAATGACACAACTGATATTCAATCACAGTTAAGAAAACTGATAAGTAGAAATCAGGAACTCAGAGCTTTCAGTTATATAAATTTTCAGTTATCTAAAAGCAAATTCACATGATTTTATAAATGATAACAGTAAGCTACAAATAACTACTAATGGAAAATGAAAACCACACTTGAATATTACTTCCTACATTGTAAGCACTATAACAGAATGTGAGCCGAGAGAAGACACCATTCCAACAAATGGTGTGTGAGGCACAGAGGGGGTGGGGGTGGGCTAGAGCTACAGCAAGAGAGCTCTGTACTTGTCCATAACGCAACTGTGACGTCAGCTGATAAGGACACAAGAGGCTCACCTTCTCACCATTAACACTAGCACTGAGAACCCCAACGCTGACTTGCAGCCAACGGTCGGTTGGATTGAGTACGCTGAGGAGGGTCTGTGAGGCGATGCCAACACAGCAAGCATGAGGAAACTTCAGTTCCTCGGGCACTCTCACAGTCCCTGGAAAGAGTAAGCACAGTCAAAATTGCAAGTGATGGCAAACACCTGACTAAAACTAGTCAAATGGCAATTATTATAAGACTACCTATTTATACCCAAGAGCTACTAGATAAAGTGCCCAGATGCAGGAGTCCTTGACATTGTATAAACCTCAGCAAAGGCCTGCCAAGAATTTTTTCCTGCTTCCACACAGACTAGGAAAAAAAAATCAAAACTGATTAAACTGGCAATTACAGCTAATCAACTCTTTGATGTTATTGCCAGTTAGCAGTCTCTTCCTTTTTTCTCTCACAAATCATAAGCCACTGCTTAACCTAAAAAGAAACTACAGAGGCTCTAACTTTCCAGATGTGCACACCTGTTCTGATTTTTATTACTCCCTCCAATCCTTGCACCATCCTCATGCAGTTACTTTGGAAGGTAAAGAAGCACTCCAAAGCTGAGCGTACTGTGACAGGAAAAGAACAGCACACAGCCCTGCTGAGCAGCGTGACTGTCAGAAACAGAGAAACAGTCCCACAGATGAGAGCCTAAGAGCACTGTCTCACCACAACCTCCCAAAGACTTAGTAAGTGGAAGGTAACTCATTCATTCTGGGATTTGACTTTAAGCTGGTCATTATCCAGATGAAAGAATACCAAAAACCTAGCTGAAGAGTAAAAGGAGATAAGGAAGACAAAGGCACAGGCAGTCTTTCACTTGCATAAGTTTTAGTTTTCTGAGCCAACTTTCAGGGACCCTTGCACAGACATACATTATGGTGTTCTCAATTTAGGGCACAGAATAAAACTTACAAGAAACTGAGGCCAATCAGTACCTCCTTGAAACAAAATGCTTTGTGGTATCATTTGAGAAAACTCAACTTTTAAATAAGAGCAAGCAATAACAATAACAGAGAAAGCACATCTTACCAAATCCTGATGTCAATCCTGAATCCCATGATTCAAGTCCACAATTTGCACCAACAGATTGCACAGGAAAAGGTTTTGCTGTACTTAGCAGGTTCTGATTTAAGGCATTAGAATATGGGTTACAAAGGGAAGAGGTACCCATCAATCCAGAGTCAATACTTGGTCCTAGACAAATTCCCACAGTCACAGAGTTCTGTACATGCTCTCCTGTGACAGCAGAATAAGGACAGCCTCCTGAGAACCCACAGACTGTGGCATTGCCAGCATGGCACTGAGGCAAGGTAATATTTCCAGCTGAAGGGAGTGTTCCCAAATACTGCGGGGCAAAGGGAGGTGCGCTAAGCGAGTGTCGCGTCCAGAGTGCAGGCACTGCAGCAGGCACGTTCCACATCTCGGCAGCAGAGCCATGAACCGTGCCACCAGGAACAACAGTGCTCTGCTTTCCAGAGGTGGTCCGATTAGAAACTTGGCCACATAACTCACTGCTGGCATCTGATACATCTTTAGAAGTTATTTTTTGATGGTTGTCCACAGACTCCTGGCATGACACAGGGAGATGTGACGTGACTGACCCAGCCTGATGGCTCAGACCTGACTTGCTCAGGTGAGCCAGCCTGATTGGGTCTAATTCCTCGGGGTTTGATGTCAAACCTACCTCACTGGTTTGCAACAGATCTCCACTTTTGGAAGAAGGATCTTTACTCCATCTAAAGTCAGGTTTTACATCTTCAGATGTGCTACTCTGAGTAGTTTCAGTTACTTTTTTCATATCAGAGTTATTCTGGATAATAGGTGATGATAATGTTGCTTCTCCTCTATTCTGAAATGGAACTTTTTCTCTCAGCTTTTCCACTGCCTGTTCCTCTGACGGAGCTGGACTGGCTTGAATAATTGTGGTGCTCAACTCACTGGTGATATCACTCTGAGTATGACAATAAAAAAAAAAGATTTTGTTTTAGTAATTCACAGTGAAGCTAAATATAATACATTCAAACCATATTGATATAAAATCAAGTAATATAATAAATAAATCTACATGAATTACTTCTCTGAAAAATATTTAGTTTATACAAAGGGGTAGTTTTGCAGCTGTGAGATGCCTGCTTATATGAAAAATTATTTGTTACTTTATAAAAAGAATTAAGAGGAAGATAAACCGGAGGTATATACCAATTACATCTGAAAATTTTACACAGATAAATAATCAGTCAAGTAATTTTTTGCAAACGTAAGGTATTTTTATAAACTTTGTAATAAAAATCTAAATAAAATAGTAACAAAGGTGTGAGCGAGTACGTTTTCAAATGACACTGACAGGAAGCTAGGAGTCAGCTCTTAGGAGCCAGCCATAGGTCTGCCACAGCCACTAGTTGTTATAATGCTACATATGCTTGAGATTTGAAGAAGCTAATTTTTATGTATACCAAGTTTTTTTCCAGTTTGTAAACTTGTGGTTCTATTTTCTAAAGTATGAAAAAACAGTCCTAGTAAATGTTCACACACTCACTTCTTTACACATAATGCATAACCTTAAGAGTGACACCTACAGCTCTGCAGGATGAACTAGCTGGATGTACACACGAGTCAAGAACTTGACCTTCACTGATTGTTTCTGGCACTCGGTTTGGAAATTTCTTCTGAACCAAAGTTTTAAACATAAGACACTAATAAACAAAGACCAGATTATTTTGCCAGTTAATAAATTAAATGTCTTCAATGGTGACCTACCAGGTGGCAAGCACTGCCCTCATGTATGAGTACACCTTATAGACAAAGAAACAGGTTTATGGAAGTTTAGTAAGCTGAGGAAGCAGCAGAAAAGACACTGTATGACACCAAAACTCAGCTCTTAGCACTCTGCTAAGTCAAGACTCAATATCTAACAACATTAAAAAGACAGCTTTCAATGAAATGGGTGTTGTTTTATCTAACACCATGTCATATATTTAGCAACTCTAGTATGTATGTGTAATAGCCAGGTGAAGAAGGACTCTTCAGCACACCCACAACTGTCACATTCAGCTCACTAACAAACTGAACACTATCACATTCACAAAATACACACACAGAAACAGATAATGAAATACTAGTTTCTCCTGAATTTCCATCTCTCCAATCCACACAGCTACCACCTGAACCCAAGTCCAAACTATCTCTTAACTGAATGACTACAGTGGCCTCATGTCAAGTTTTCTTGATTCTAATCTTGTTCCCTCAAATCCCTCATTGCTACTGGAGTGAGCTTTGAAAATATCAAAACAGATCAAGTTGGGGCCAGGTGCAGTGGCTCAGATCTGTAATCCCAGCACTTTGGAAGGCAGAGGTAGGAGGACTGCTTGAACCCAGAAGTTGGAGACCAGCCTGGGCAACAAAGGGAGACTTTGTCTCTACCACAAATCAAAAAGTTAGCCAGGTGTGGTAGTTACAGGGACTGGTGCCTATAGTCCCAGCTACTCAGGAGGCTGAGGCAGGAGGCTCACCTGAGGCCAGGAGGTCGAGGCTGTAGTGAGACATGATCGTGCTACTCTATTCCAGCATGGGCAAAAAAGTGAGATTCTGACTCAAAAAGAATAAAACAAAACCAGACCATACAGTGACCAGCCTTCAAATTCCCACAGCGTTCTTTGGGATTTGGTCTCTTCTCCTTTTCTAGCCTCTTCTCCGTTTCCCCAGAGACGTGATTTGCTGCAGCCATTCTAAACTTCCTGAAGTGCCTCAAATGCAGTATGTATCTCACAACTCACAACTCCTTGCCTTCCCCATTTGTTGCTCTGCATCCTCTCTGCCTAACTCCAAACAGTCCTGCAAAAATATGATTTCAGAGTATTATCCCTCCCAAAAGCCTTTGCTGAACCACCTCCCTGAAGTCAGACTTTCAGTCACCTCCTTCTGAATCCCCATAGCATGTGTGCATCCCAGTGTACTTCAGTACACAGTGTGTCTTCTACCAGAATGAGAGCTTTTAAGGGCAAATCCTAAAATGTTTGTACATCTAGTGTCTCCCAGCATGAGTACCTGTTCAATATGTACACACATACACATAAATTCATTTTAAAGGTCAAACAGCAACATAGAACTTACACAGGCTTAAACCACAATCTGAATCAAACATCCATAACACTTCCGAGTTGGAAGCCTTATGAGAAAACTAATCCAAGTGGCTGCCCACCTTGTGATCCTCTGGGCCACAATCTGTGGCTGTGATAGGAGAGGTGCTCTCTTGTTCAGACACACAAGTCAGTCTGCTTACACTAGCATCTGGACATGGGAAGGGCGACAACTCACTCTCACAAGGAGGCGTCTGATGATGAGCTGTTGAAGCGAAGGACTCTGAAGCACACCTGAAAGGGAATACCTCACAATGGAATTATCCACTCCTTCGTGTAATGTTATCTACATTAACCGAAAATCATTCCTTCTTGCCTACAATCTTGTAAATAACTCAGATACAGACTCAATGTTTAAAATTAATGTCCTAAAATTGTAAACCATGTTCCTATAGAATGAAGCATCTGATAAGCTACAGGAAAAGAAAGATCCGGCATTTTTATTAATAAATAACCATACACAGACACACAGTAATGTGAGCTCTTCATTCCATAAAACTTACTAAGTGCATGATATACAGCAATGAGCAAAGGCATTCAAAAATTCCTACCCTCAAAGAGCAAGGACAAAAAGAATCATTTAGATAAGTGCAGAGAACTGGGAACAGTTGTATACCACTGTATTATATATATAGACATATATATACACACACACATATGTGTGTGTACACATAAGTATACGTATATGTTATATATGTATGTATACACACACACACACACACACACACACACACACACACACAGTGGTACAACTTTCAGCTGAGCAATTAAGTGGTACGTATCAAAAGCCCCTTGACTCAGATATTCTGTATCTAAAAATTTATCCTGAGAAAAAAATTGATGATAAAGAGTCACAAAAAAGGATATACAATCATATCACCATGGATAAAGAACCTTCAATGGCACACAGAAGGAACTAGGCAATGGCAGTCATGGCCCAGACATGCAATAACACTATGTAGCCATTAACAGCCATGCCACTGAATACTAGTCTTTGACTCAGAAAGATGCTCGCAATATATTATTTTAAAAAGCAATAAGCAGTGAGATCCCCCAATCTATACACACACTGCTGTTACTTTCACCACATCCTGCTCATCAGTATCCCACCAAGGGCTGCCAGCCCAGGAACAAGGAGGAAGTGGACTGCACCTCTTATGGAGAAGTGGCAAGGTCACATTGCTAAGGAGCACAGAGGACAGTAAACACTTTCCACACCAACCAAACATTCTCCCAGCTATCTTCAATGCAGCCCTTAACTTGCCTGGAATTTACACTATCTTTTTTTTTTTTTTTTTTTAATACCAAGTTCAGAATACTCAGCAAAGCAATGAACACATGCAGAAAATTCAAATTTGAATCCTGAACTTTTAAAAAGCCTCAAGTCAAGATGGTATTGTCAAAATACAAGTTAGTAAGTTTCTAACCAATGGCAACAAAATATTAACCAAATTCCTTCAGGTCTATTTCAGCTACTGCATGAAAAGCACCTACATGGGTTCTTATATGCACATGAACAGGCACACACACAGATACCATGATACAACATAAAGAAAGTTCTGGGTCACTAGGTGATACGTTGTATTAGTTTGGTTCCTTTGGTTGACATGAACAAACACATTTAGGTTAAATTAACTCTAATAATGAAAAGTGAAGTGCAAGAACACACAGAGAAATACAAGGAGAGAAATTCCAGGCAAGAGTTTGGACTTCAAAGGATCCCGAAACTGCCAAGGTGCTAGCTGCACAGAAAATCAAAGGCAGTTCTGGAATCAGAAGCTCTGTATCAGCTCTACAGCCCAGCTGAAAACTGGCCAGAAACCAGAAGATTAGCCAGCAGGAATGCTAAGGAGCAGCAAAACTTACTAAAGTACCTTCGCCAGAAAAATGTCACCACTGAACAGATGAAAATTCTGACCAACATTTCATCATGAATATAAAAAAAGAACTTAATCACCTTTAGGAACAAAGAGCACAAAGCAGAAATATAAATTATCAAGGAAGAGACAGATGAAGAAACAGAGGACATAAAGAGAAATCAGAAGGAAAGGAATATGAGTTGGCAGGAATGAAAAGAAAGATTAAAAAAAAAATCGGCCAGGCTCGGTGGCTCATGGCTCAGCCTGTAATCTCAGCACTTTGGGAGGCCGAGGTGAGTAAATTGCCTGAGTCCAAGGGTTCGAGACCAGCTTGGGTAACTCGGTGAGACCTTGTCTCTACAATTAAAAAAAAAATTAGCCAGGCATGGTAGTACACGCCTGTAGCTCCAGCTACTTGGAAGGCGGAGGCAGAAGAATTGCCAGAGCCCAGCAGATCGAAGTTGCAGTAGCCGTGAGCAAGCCACATCACTCCAGCCTGGGTGACAGAGCGACACCCCAACTTAAAAAAAAAAAATCAAGCCCATTTTATCACAAAGAGGAAAAAAGCATAAGAAGGATAAAGATAAATAATATAGTAAGATAATCAATAAAGATAAAGATAAATACATACAGAATTAAAGTCCACATTGGCGGCAATGAAAAGCATAGTCAACACTATAGAAAACCAGTGATGCAGAGGATAAGCACCTAACAACTATCTTGGTACAGAGAAGGAAGGCAGACAGAAAAGAAAATGATGAAAGGGAAATATTCATGGATGACCAGAGAAGGGACAATCAACTAACGACCAACTGGTATACTCAAAAGGAGATGACAATAAATAAAAAAAAAATTAGCCAGGCATGGTAATGAGCACCTGTATTTCCAGCTACTTTACTTGGAAGGCTGAAGTGGAAGGATTGCCTGAGACCAGCAGGTCAAGGCTGCGGTGGTGACAGGGTGAGACCCTAACACCAAAAAAAAAAAAAAAAAGGAGACGAGAGTAAGTAGAACACAAGCAATAATCAATGGTAACAGAAAATAAAACTTTCCTCAGCAGAAGAAAGAACTGTGTACGCAGAGGTTATCATACTCCAAGAAAATCAACTGAGAGAGACTGGCATATACTTGTTTGAAGCTGATGAGGTAAAACAATGGTAGGAACATAAAACAAAGCCAGAAATTTAGACTTAGACAAAATGTATATTGTGTAACAGGAAAATGGATAAACAGAACGTGGCACATTCATGCAAGAAAACACTAAGCAACAAAAAGGATGAGCCACTGACACATGCAAGAAAGGTGAATCTCAAAAATATGTTAAGAGAAAAAAAGCCAGACACACACACACAAAAAACATACTGCATGATTCCACTTACATGAGATCTAGGAAAAGACAAAACTTAACAATGGTGATATAGATCAGAAAGTGGGTGTCAGTGTGGGGGAAACAGAAGGAAAAAGAAAAAACCAGCCGGGCTCGGTGGCTCAGCCTGTAATCCCGCGCCTTTGGGAGGTTGAGGTGAGTGGATTGCCTGAGCCTGCGGGTTCGAGACCCGCCTGGGCAGCGAGACCTCATCTCTACAATAAATCAAAAAATTAGCCGGGTGTGGTAGCACGCGCCTGTAATTCCAGCTACTTGGAAGGCTGAGGCGGAATGATCGCCGGAGCCCAGCAGGCGAGGCTGCGGTGCTGGGAGCGGCCACTGCACTCCAGTCTGGGTGACAGAGTGAGACTCCAACTCAAAAAAAAAAAGAAAAAACTGACTGGGAAAAGCCAAGGGGTGCTTAATGGAGTGATGGAAATGTTATATATACTTTACACAGTGTGTTTATGTAGGTATATGTGTCAAAAAACTCGTTGAATGAAACCCTAAGTTTTCTGCATTTTATTGTGCAGTAATTAGACATTAGCAAAAATACAATCCAAAAATGCATACTGAAGGTGAGGCATGTGGCTCGTGTCTGTAATCTCAGCACTTCGGGAAGCTGAGGCAGGATCGGATGACCCCAGGAGTTCAAGACCAGCCTGGGCAACAAAATGAGACCTCGTCTCTAATAAAAAAATTAGCCAGGAATGTTGGCACATACCTGTAGTACCAGCTACTTCAGAGGCTGAGGCAGAAGCACTGCCTGAGCCCAAGAGGTCGAGGCTGCAATGAGCTGTCTTCATGCCACTGCACCCTAACCTGGGCCACTGAATGAGACTCCAACCCCAAAAAAAGATGCATACTGAGAAATCATAAAATTCGGTTAGAGGTGAGCCATAGTTTTACTGCAAATTTGGTAATAAGTTAAGCACTGCCCCTGAAGAATTCATGGATAAATCTACATGCTAAACACTGATTAATGAGGCTCAACTAGTATTTGCTTTAGTGAGTGTGGCAGAGAAATGTAAGCTCAGCAACATAGCAACACAAGATCACTCTCATATTGTATTTCCAAGCAATTTTAGTCCACAACATACTTACCCTCTTATAAATTGACCTTTTTTCACTAAGTCCCATGGTTTTGCCCCAGGCAGAGAGGTGAGGGTTCAGGTGCTTGGCTGGTTTACCCATGAGGAATGAGCTTTCCAATTCCATCATCACTTTAGAAAGGTAAACCAGATGCCTTCACTCAAAATACCTGACCATACGCCAAATTAATGAGAAAGTTCTGTGTTCCCTAAAGTATGTTACCTACAAATAATGATTAAGTATGCTTTCTTAAGAGTACAAGAAAAAAAAAAACCAGGTAGGTCCAAGAGTGAAATCATATAGCCCAGTATTTTGGCTCTGATCTTGCAGTAAAGAGCAGTGTGAAAAATAAAATCATAATAATGTACATCATTAAAGAGTGTTCATAGTTTTTATTAAATCCTTTCATACATATTAAAGAAAAGTCAAAAACAAGATAAAATTGGCAGGTATACAAAGGATAAAGAGACACTACAGAAAACACTGTCAGGAAGCTAGAGTTCAGAAATGTGAAATGGAAACAAAACCAAAACAAATGAGAAAGAGGCAGACCATGGAACAGTTCAGTATTATTTGAATATGGGGACAGATACATGAGTCCACATCTGTGATAAGGTGTCACTGAACTCCACTCACATATGGTACTCACGTCAAGCTCCTGGTTGATATTATACCACAATTATGTAAAATGCAATCACTGGGGGAAATTGTGTGAAAGGGAATATGGGACATGTCTATACATTCTTTGTAACTTCCTGTGAATCTATTATTATTTCAAAATAAAAGATTAAAAAAAAAAAGAATTAGAGAGAAAATAAAAGTCAAGCAAAATAGATCCCACAGATGCATTACTAGCGTTCCTGGTGTCTGGAAGGGAGGTGGGGAAACAGAACAGGACTAATATTTTCAAAAACAATTCAAAAAAGTATTTCCTTAAATAAAAGACTGAGCCTAAGTACTGAAAGGCTACACTGTGTGGCAGGGCAAGGTAACAACGAAGAGTCAATATAGAGATACAAACTAAAAAATTACTAAAATTTAGTAAAACCAAAGAATCTTTGGTAAAACCTTACAAAAAAATCAAATCCATTTAAAGGCAAAATGACCAGGCATGTCTGAGATAACTCTCTTACATCCCATAGAGACAGTAAAGCAATTCCTACAAGAAGCTTAAGGGAAGAAAATGTAAGGTTTGAAACATACTGTGACATGCCACAGTCAGATAACCTGCAAAGTTGGCTAGGCTCGATGACTTCTAATGTCCTTTAAAATTCGAAGTTAACTATTAAATAAGAAATGCTTCAAAAGGAGGCATCTACAATGAGTATCGAAAGAACTACCCTCTCCACCACTGACATGTAGCTCTAGCTGACTCATACTATGTTTCAGATAAATAGGAACTTCAACTGCAGCTTGGAAAATAGATATCTTTGGAATCTAGTATCTTGAAACAAATCAAAATTATCTTTAACATTTTTGATAATTTGGTTGGGCAAATTTTTCCACTTATCAAAATCTTTCAATATAGAAACATATAAAAGATCTCTTATAAACTGGGCTTGGTGGCTCAGCCGGTAATCCCATGCCTTGGGAGGCTAAGGTGAGTGGATTGCCTGAGCCCATGGGTTCGAGACCCACCTAGGCAACTTGGTGAGACCTCATCTCTACAATAAATCAAAAAATTAGCTGGGCATGGTAGCGTGCGCCTGTAGTTCCAGCTACTTGGAAGGCTGAGGCGGAGGGATCACTGGAGCCCAGCAGGTCGAGGCTGTGGCAGCTGGGAGGGGCCACTGCACTCCAGTCTGGGTGACAGAGTGAGACTCCAACTCAAAAAAAAAAAAAAAAAGATCTCTTATAAATAAAGTCATAAAAGAAAGCACTCAAAATTTTATGGGCAAAATTATTCATCTCAACATTAAACAAGCAAAACATAGTAAGAAACAAAAGTATATACCAGAAGTATCAATTAAACCATGACAGATCCATCATATAGTCTATAACACTACTAACTATCTTTAAAATATGGATAAGATGAAAGGGAAAAAAGCAGAGGGCAAAAATTTGCACAGAAAAATGGTTGGAAAGAAATTCACAAAATACTCACAATAGTTACCTTTGAGAGATGAACCAATAGAGTAACTTTTCTTCTTTATACTTTCTTCCAATTTTCCTATACCAAGTACATATTTTTACTATTTTTTTTTAAATGTAAGCACTTACCCTGATAAACTTGTTCCAGAAATTTCGCTAGGAGAAGAATGACTCAGTGGTGAAGTGGAAGGTCTGAAGCTCTCCTGGTCATCCTCTGAGCCATGTCCATCATACTCAGCAGAGGTATTTTTCAAATCTATTAGAGAGGAGTATTTTCCAACAAGAACAGAAAAAAACTGCATAATTTTGTGATTGTGATCAACTAGTCAGACACTTACCGACAGTTTTCGGTGAGATTATGCAATGGTTTTCAAAAGTCACATGCCTTTCACTGTTGCTTGATTCACTAACATGCTGCTTTTGCCTTCGATTTTCTCTATTACCTTGTATTTCTTCATGCTTTTCTGACAGCCAAAAGGATGTTATTCTGGGGTTCCTTACTGATGAATAACTCTCCAGTGGTGGAGTGGAACCTGAGGTAGCCTTTTCACTGTTACCAACATCAGACAATTTGTTGTCAATAGGATATGTCATCACACCAACTACTGCACTATCATTCCCTTTTATGTTTGTAACTGAATTTGAAGAGTTTGCCGTTCTCAACGATTCTTGGTTTTCACTCTCTCCACTTTCATCGTTAAAAATAGCTGCTGCATTTTTTTTTGGTTCCCTTACACTTATATTAGTAGCACCTAAGTCCACTGTATGGATGTCTTGGGTAGTTGGCTCTTTTGGCAAAGATAAATCCCAAATACCAGACATACCAGCTCTTGAAAAGTTTTCCAATCCTCCTTCATATCTACTAACGTCTGTTTTTTTAAGGTATTTTTCCATATCAAATATACTGGATCCATTACTCCTTTCTAAATCATTAGGTAAGAAATGAGACACATTGGAACAATCCTTTTGTCTCTCATTGCCCTGAGAAGTCTTGTCTCTGGCTTTATTTGACAGTGCCTTGATCATGGCAGCAAGTTGGGAAGGATCAGTGCTCACTGATGCCTCTGCAATGGCAGAAGCAATGGTGCTGATCCTAAGTACAGAATCACCACTATCAGGTGGCTTGTCTTTGCATCTTTGGGGTGTATTGCTCATGAAGAAAGTGTCCTAGAAATGAGAAAAATAACATCATAAATTTACCCCAGTGTCATGGACATGTACATATACTAGCTCCCCCTTATCCTTGGGACATGAGTTCTAAGACCTCCCCAGTGGCTGACTGAAACCTGAGATAGTACTGAACCCAACTGCTGTCAATCAGAACATATTTCTGTTCTTGTCTTCCACTCACAAATTTTATGTCTTTTTCATCTTATCTAAGCACTTATCACACACATGGCCATAATGTCTGCAGGTTGAGGTACAACAGCAAAACTACCACAAATGTCTTTTCTCTTCTTTATTTATTTATTTTTGAGTTGGAGTCTCACTCTGTTGCCCAGACTGGAGTGCAGTGGCCGCTCCCGGCCACTGCAGCTTTGACCTGCTGGGCTCCGGCGATCCTTCCGCCTCAGCCTTCCAAGCAGCTGGAACTACTGGCGCCCGCTACCACGCCCGGCTAATTTTTTGATTTATTGTAGAGATGAGGTCTCACCAAGTTGCCCAGGCGGGTCTCGAACCCGCGGGCTCAGGCAATCCACTCACCTCAGCCTCCTAAAACGGGGGATTACAGGCTGAGCCACCGAGCCCAGTTTCCCTTCTTCATAATTCCACAGATAGAAGATTCATTTTTACTGTAGATCTTGGGAACTTCAGCATACAATTTTATTTTCTTTCCTTATTAAGTCAAGAACTTATACCTTTTCACTTAAAGGAAGCACTTTACAGTTTCTCTTTGGCATATCCAAATTGACAGCACCACTACTCTCACACTTTAGGGCTACTATGAAATAAAATAAAGGTGACTTGAACACAGGCACTGCAATACCATGACAGTCAATCTCATAACCAAGGTGGCTACTAAGTGACTAATAGGTAGTGAGCAAATACAGGGTAGAGAAGCTGAGCAAAGGATTTACGTCCCACCAGGGATTGGATGAGATGGCAGAGAGATTTAATCACACTACCCAGAATAACGCACAATTTAAAACTTATCAGTTGTTTACTTGTAAAATTTCCTACTTAACATTTTTGGGCCACAACTGACCACTAGTAACTGAAAGAATGGAAAGTCAAATTGTGGATAAGGGGGGACAGGCATATTAGTTTAATCTCTCTTTATAACTACTATGTAAGATTTAATAGCAATGAAAAATTAATGGCAAACCAGTTAAATATGAAAAAGACAGCTGCTATCAACTTCAGTTATACAGTACAAGGTTATTTATAAAATATGATGTCATTTGTTTTTTAAAAAAATCATCAGGAATTAAAGAGATGCTAAAATTGAGCTGGAAAATAATTTAAAACCAAAAAAATTAAAATATTAAGATTGAAAAGCCAATGAGGCACTATGATTTTAGGTAATTTCTTTCAACGTTAGAATTATTTATAAGCAAGACATAAACAGAAATCATGGCCAGGCACAGTGGCTCACACCTATAATTCTAGCACTTTGGAAGGCTGAGGTGAGAGAACTGCCTGAGCACATGGGTTTGAGACCAGCCTGGGCAACTTGGCAAGACCTCATCTCTAGAGTAAATCAAAAAAATTAGCTGAGTGTGGTGGTGCACACCTGTAGTTCCAGCTACTTAGAAGGCTGAGGAGGAAGGATTGCCAGAGCCCAGCAGGTCAAAGCTGTGGTGGTCGTGTGTGTGCCACTGCACTCCAGCCTGGGTGACAGAGTGAGACTTCGACTCAAAAAAAAAAAGAAAGAAAGAAACCACAGGAAACATAAGACTTTGTAAGGAAAAAAAATGCATATTAAAACTTCTGCCAGCCAGGCGCAGTGGCTCAAGTCTGTAATACCAGCACTTTGGGAGGACAAGGTGACAGAATTGCTTGAGCCCATGGGTTTGAGAACAGCCTGGGCAACTCGGCAAGACCTCACCTCTACAATAAATCAAAAAAGTTAGCCAGAAATGGTAGCATGTGCCTATAGTTCCAGCTACCTGGAAGGCTAAGGCGGAAGGATCACCTAAGCCCAGTAGGTTGATGCTGGGGTGGCCCTGAGTATGCCACTGCACTCCAGCCTGGGCAACAGAGTGAGACTCCAACTGAAAAAAAAAAAGTCATCTGCCTCCAATAATTGCAAACTAGGTAATGCAAACCACCAATCTCTTGCTGAGGGCAATAAGAACTGGACAGCATATTCAAAAACAACTCTTTGAAGGCACTGGAAGGTTTAAAAAAAAAAAAAAGGGCAGCATAAACTTCTGGGGCCAAAATCGAATAGAAGTATCCAGAGACATAAGACCAATATTTGAGATGCTTTTCCCTAGAGGTATCTGCTGCTTCAAAAAGTGGGTAAACAAAGCTGTTCTTGTGGAAATAAAGGCATAAAAATTGAGTCTACCAGTTACTGGAAGGATGTGTGCGTGTGAGAGAGACAGAGAGAGACAGAGACAAGACACAAACACCCCATGGCAACATATCCATGCCTTAGGATGAGAACACAAGGGGATGTACCCTTGCAGTAAAGAGTAAAGGCAAACCAGCATCAGATTGGCTCTTAGAAGGAGTGAAGCTCAGCTCCAATCAGCTCAGTCCCAATAACTGAATTGAAGTAACATGCGATTGCTAGTGTTTCTTGCTCTCTGTCAGAAGGAACCATAAATCCAGTCTGGAAAATATCATCTTTCTTGGCCTCAAACTACCTCAACAATTTTTCCTGTTAACAGCAGGATAAAACAAAACATACCTAAACACGTCACAGTAAAAGGGATTAAAGCCAAACAAAAAGAAAATAACAGTAAGACTGACAGCCAACTTTTACAACGAAATGGTAAGAGTACATTCTAAGTGCTAAAAGTTGCTTCTAACCTAGAATTCTAAGGCAAGCAAAATACACTTCAAAAATTATGGGGAAAGACAGGCATTTTTAGTGAGACAATGGAAAATTAATTATCAGCAGACCCTTACCAAAAGAAAAAAATATATATATATTCACACACACACACATATGATATTTTTTCCAAGCACAAGAAAATTGATCTCAGCCTAATTATAAAGTTAATATATCAGAAATGTATTTTGGTTGCATAGGTTCTTCATCGTGATGTCTTATGAGTTTAAATGTAGAAATAATTTAAATATAAAACAAAAGTAGTGTTTAACCATGAAGTAAATTGAGTATTTTATGATCCTTGTGATGTTAAAAAAGAGGTTTTGGGGGAAAAAACCCCAAAAACAACTTTTTAAAAACATTAGTAAGTCAAAAAGACAGGTTATCAGTCTTGGGTGATCACTAGAAAAACATGAAAATACGTAACTGAGTAATTACCACATTAATAAAGGGAAAAACCTGAAATAATATAAATACTTAAACAATCCCAAAGAATACCAAAAGACAAAAAACAAACTCCAGCTGAAACAAACAAAAAAGCAAACACAGAGAGCAGATTCAAATTCCCATACATTGGTAATTGCATCCGATGTCAACCAGTCTCTCCATCAGATACTGTGAGACTAGTTGAAGAATAAAATCTAACTCTATGTCCTTATAAGCAAAACAACTAAAATATAAGGATGTAGAAAAATTAAAAGTAAAACAATGGGAAAACACATAACATACTAGCACCAACCAAAGAAAGCTAGAGTTAGCTAAGTTAATTTCAGACCAGACTTTGGCAAAAAGCATTAATAGAGACAAAAAGAGTCATGCACAATGATAAAGAATTTAATTCAGTAGAGAGAACAATTTAAGTGTATATGCACCTAAAAATATAGACTCAAAATGTTTAAAGCAAATATTGACAGTCCTATAAAGATTAATAGACAAATCCACAATCACTGTGGGAGATTTTTAAAACTAAGTAACTGAAACAAAAGCACAAAAATTTTAAGAATGCAGATAGCTTGAACAACCTGATTTAACTAAATTTCACCTAAACAAAACATACAGAAGAGTGTAACCAGCAGTCACTTAACAGATATTACTCACAACAGCACAGAAAACATTTTCAGTCAGGCATGGTTGCTCATGCTTATAATCCCAGAACACTGGGAAGGTGAGGCAGGAGGACTGCTTGAGGCCAAGAGTTTAAAACCAGCTTGGGCAACCCAGAGGCACCCTGTCTCTATAAAAAATTCAAAAAATTAGCTGGGCATGGTGACGCACATCTGTAGTCCCAGTTACTTAGGAAGCTGAGGCAGGAGGATTGTTTGAGCCCTGGAGTTCAAGGACGCAGTAAGCAATGATCACACCACTACACTATACCTGGGCAACAGAGTGAGACCCAGTCTCTAAAAAGATAAAATAATGTTTTCAAAAACAGAACAAAGGTAAGCCATATAGCACATCTCAACAAATTTCAAAGGCCTAAAACCAAAAGAACTGTCTACAGTGCAACTAACCTAAAATCAGTGAAAAATTGGGGCCAGGCAAGGTAGCTAATGCCTGTACTTTGGGAGGCCAAGTCAGGAGGATCACTTGAGCCCAGGAGTTCTGAGTTCAGCCTGAGCAACAGAGAGATCCCATCTCTACAAAATATAAAAATATTAGCTGGGCATGGTAGCACAGCATGCCTGTAATCCCAGCTACCCGGGAGCCTGAGGTGGGAGAATCGCTTGAGCCCAGGAGTTCCAGACTACAGCAAGCTATGATGGTGCCACTGCACTTCAGCCCAGGTGACAGAGTGAGACCCTGTCTCTAAAAAAAAAAAACAACAACAGAGAATTGGAAAATCTCCTAAATGTTTGGAAACTAAGCAATTCATTAAAAGAAACCCCATGGGGGAAGGATGTGAGAAAATATATTAAACTGAATAATAATGAAAGTATGACAACTCAAAATACAGGGGATGAAATTTTTAAAATGCAGAAGCCACAGCTCTGCTTTCAGGAAAACTTATGTCACTATATGCTTGTATTAAAAAGCAGGAAGGTAGAAAAACCAATGAGCGAAGCATTCACCAAGAAATTAGAAAAACTACTAATTAAATCCATAGAAATCATGAGGAAATAAATGAAGACCAGGAAATTTTTTAAAAAGAATAGCGAAGCCGGGCTCGGTGGCTCAGCCTGTAATCCCGCACCTTTGGGAGGCTGAGGTGAGCAGATTGCCTGAGCCCATGGGTTCGAGACCCCCCTGGGCAGCGAGACCTCATCTCTACAATAAATCAAAAAATCAGCCGGGCGTGGTAGCACATGCCTGTAATTCCGGCTACTCAGAAGGCTGAGGTGGAAGGATCGCTGGAGCCCAGCAGGTCGAGGCTGCGGTGGCCGAGAGTGGCCACTGCACTCCAGTCTGGGTGACAGAGTGAGACTACAACTCAAAAAAAAAAAAAAAAAAAAAAAATTAAGAACTATAAATTAATAAGACAAATAACCCATTAGAAAAACAAGCAAGAGTCAGTCAGGCACTTCACAAAAGAAGCTATCCAAACGACCAACAAACATGAAAAAGTATCCACCTTAATTCAAAGTCAGTGAAATGTACACTAAAACAAGAAGGCACCACTACACACCAGAATAAGTAAATAGTGTGGAGGAGGATATGTAGTGACAAAAATTATCACACGCTACTAGAAGAAATCTACATTGGTATAACCACTCTGGAAAACTGCCAAAACTACTGAAGCAAAGGTATGCAAACCCTACGATCTACCAATTCCACTCTTAAACACACATCTCACATGAATATGTGTGCACTGCCAACAAGACAGAGGTACTAGATTGTTCACTGAGCATTATTTAATAATTGCCCAACACTGGAAATACCCCAAACATCCATCAACAGTAAAATGGATATATAAACTACAGAATGTTTATATAATAGAATAACATATAGTAATGAGAATAAGCTCCTATTATTCTCAGCTAACAAACATCAGGTAAAGTGAAAAAAGGAAAAGAAAATAAAAACATGCTACATGGTTTCTTTTATATAAAGTTCAAAAACATGCACAATTAATACACTGTCAGAGGTCATGACACTAATGAGGGAGGCAGTGTTTGGGAGGAGCAAAAACAATTGTTTCTGGGCTGTTCACAACGCTCTTTTTCTTGACCTGGGGTGTATATGGGCGTATAAGCTATGATAATTCATTTACTGACTATAAGTTTGTTTTATATACTTGTCTGTATGTATGTTAAACATTAATAAAAGTAATCTTGTCTTAATCTTATACAAGAACTATAATAAGATAAATCTTAGATTTCCTTCATAAAAGGCTTAAGCTACCTCTGTTTTGCCCTTATCAGCCGTTAATGTCACATCATTTTCATCCACTTGTGAATCACTCTTCATGGCTTCAACCTGAAGTGTAATTGATCCTTCACTTAGTTGTGCCTGGGATTGTTCATTTAAATCTCCTGCAGGAAATATACAATATTCATCTTGTAAGTATACACTATCTCACAGATAATCTGTGGGATAAGACCAGTCAATCAGTCATCCTCACTAACACTGTTTAAATATATAGTCAATTGGACTAACAGCATAGTTGATTTGGGTCAATTCTGCAAACACCAATCTTTAAAGGGAGACTGAATTTTAATTACTCCCTTGCAAATACACATATAAACTCACTTAATAGTTTTCAGCTTTAAACATTTCACAAATATACAATAAGCTGAATTCAAAAGTGAATACTTCTTTAAAGTAACAATGAGCTAACTATATATACACGGACCCATATGCCAACTCCCCTATTGGTTCCCATAAAGAATGGAGCACATCTTGTACAACTTTATATAATGCATAACACAAGACATTATACAAGCAAAAAGTAGCTATTCGATAATTACAAGTTGACTAAGAAACTTTGTTTAAAAATATCAAAGATAATTCTCATAAATATTATCAAATTTAGACTATCACAGTTGAAATCTCCAAACATCTCTAACTAAAAGTCTACCTAGGCTGGGCACGGTGGCTCACACCTGTAATTCCAGAACTTTGGGAAGCTGAGGTGAGAAGACTGCCCAAGCCCAGGGATTCGAGACCAGCCCGGGCAACTTGGTTAGGCCTTGCTCTACAATAAATAAAAAAATTAGCCAGGCATGGTGGCATGTGCCTGTAGTTCCACTTACTTGAAGGCTGAGGCAGAAGGATTGCCTGCGCCCAACAGGTAGAGGATGGGATAGTTGTGATTGTGCCACAGCACTCCAGCCTGGGTGACAGAGTAAGATTCTGACTCAAGAAAAAGTCTACCTAAATAATTAATATACATATGATTCATTAACTCAGTAATTTAATAAGCCAACACTAACTGACCCATTTGACATTATTTCATTTGCCATGGTTTTGACAAAAGAATCTGAGTGGCTTTTGGCTGATGTGGTTCTACCTTAGGTTGAAAGGAAACATGAGGTTATGCATGAATCAAATCTATAATCAATACTGAGAAACTATAAAGTGGTTATACACATTTTCAGTCATAAAGATAGCATGACCACACAACTCCTCCATCCCAGGTAAAAATTTAAAAACAAATTCCTAAAAACTCCTTCATTTAATCCGTTACCTGAAAACAGATGATGGTTATGGTGAACCATTTTTTCCCCCAAATTACTTCTTGATACATCAGATTTTCTTATTAAAGCAACAGGTTCTCTCTTCTCTGGTGATCTAATGAAATAGCCAAATGATGGCTACAAAATATTAAACATGAATTATTTCCTTAATTTTCAACTACTTTGAGAAATCCTAGACTGTTTTATTCTATACCGGTCACACAGCTAAACAACTTTAACAAAACTGTTCTTTCTACTTAACCTCAAATTACTAGTCATGAACTTCAAAAGTCCACATAGAATCTTTGGTTGCCTTAATGCTACCTTTTAATCATTAGAACTAATATTGCCAAATAAATTATCCTTACTAAAAAACCCAAACTAAAGCAACATAGAAATGACACTTTATTCCTTCAATAATTATTATTGAGCAGCTACTACGTGTTACAACCTGTTTAGTCATCAGTAATATATCAATGAGAAAAATGGTTAAGAACTCTTGCCTTCTAGAGCTCTTTGTTTTATAGAATAAACACATCTTTGAAAGTCTTTATTAAGATTATGTATGTTCCTACTGACTTGCTGTAGGGCTACACACACTCAGTGACAATGTGAGCACACTCTGTGCAAAGTTATTGGTCAACACTTCACCTCAGCATGTCCTGTATGCCCAGACAGGGAGCCTGAGGGGAAGGGAACATCCTGGGTTGGCCACTCCCAGGACCCCTTTCCAGTCTCCAAGTAATTGGAGATACTCCAAGTAATTGGAGCATGCAGGACATGCTGAGGTGAAGTGTTGACCAATAACCTTTGCTTACCTTTAGTTCATTATAATATGAAAGTCCCACCCCTAGAGAGAATCTGCAGCCATCCTGTGTACATGCAAGATAAGTGTAAGAGCCTTCTCAAGCTGTGCCTGCGTGCTAGAAACCCCACTCTTTTCACACTTAGCTCCTAACTATGCACTATGTAAAATGCTATACAACCCGTGTGCCTTCTGCAATTGGGAGTTTTTTTTCCTATACAGTCAGCTGCTCCTGGACTATCTTCCCTGTAAGTTCCTAAATAAAGCCCATGTTTTGTCTGTTGTCTCTGGGTCATTTCTTCAGCCACTCAGACACACTTCCTTTCCTTTTGGGGTCTTTGGGAGTCCTGCATGGCACTTGCATGAAAGTTTCCGTAAAGTCTGTAC